GCTTTTTGGTTTACAGCGGATTGTTTCTGCACATCTCGCTTTAAGTTAAAGTCCTACACATTGTGATCATTGAACGTTCACATTCAATTATGTAATTTATGCATTTCACCCATCACACACGAGATACACCCGGGTGGAGCAGTGGGCAAGCACCCGGGCAGCAGGTATGGAATATGTGAATTGTTTAACAACACCACAACATATAGGCATGGCGGGGAATCAAACATGTGACTTTCTGGTCCCAAGTCAGCTGCCCTACAACTGCACAGCAACCACCCTATCACAACTTCAACAGTCGGACAAACTGGCTCACATCCATCCATCCATCATCTTTACCTGCTTCTTCCTTTTCGGATCATGGGGGTCACTGATGCCCATGTCCAGCAATCGCTGTATGAGAGGCGGAGGACGCCTAGACAGGTCTCCAGTCCATCACAGGGACACCCAGAGACAAAAGAGACAACCATTCACTCTCTCTCTCTCTCACACCTAGGGAAAATTTAGTTACCAATCTAACATGCATGTTTTTGGTATGTGGGAGGAAATCAGAGTAACCTGAGAAAACCCATGCATGCACGGAGAGAACATGCAAACTCCACTCAGAAAGACCCCCGGCTGGGATTTGCACCGGCAACCTTCTCACTGAGAAGCAACAGATCTACCAAGTGAGCCACTGTGCTGCTTAACTGCTCTCATATGACACAAAAGTAATTTGATACATTAAGAAGTTCATGGTCGACTCAGTGCCTGCAAAGATATTTTCTAAATCGACCACAGATACGCTCCCAGACCTTCAGCGTGAACTCTGTATAGTTTAAAACTGTGTTTGTAACCCTTTCCAGACTGATGTGTAGAAACAGTTACTCCTCCACAACTTCTGCTGTTTGTCCCTCCTTAGCAAATACTGTTAGTGTAATGAAGCATGAACTGTTGTTCTGTAGTGGTATTTATTTTCAGTTCTTTCAAAAAAAAGATTTTTATGTTCTAATGTGGAAAATCTAATCTGTGACTTTAAATTTGTAAAAAAAAAATTTAAAAAAGTTGAAATAATTAAATATCACCTGATTGTATAGACTCAAATTTGTATATATAAAAAAAAAAACTAAGAAAGTCTAAAAATATTTTTTTTTAAATCATGTCCTGGATGACTGAGAATCTACACCAACATAAGTCAAAACCGAACTGAATGTAGTAAAAACAGAAAACAAAAGTGATGCTAACACTTTCCACTCAACACAGTCAAGCTATATACAAACCGGATTCCAAAAAAGTTGGGACACTAAACAAATTGTGAATAAAAACTGAATGCAATGATGTGGAGGTGCCAACATCTAATATTTTATTCAGAAT